ATATTTGATTAAAACAGACTCTGGTGATTATTTTATCTTGATGATATTTGATTGAAACAGACTCTGGTGATTATTTTATCTTGGTGATATTTGATTAAAACAGACCCTGGTGATTATTTTATCATGGTGATATTTGATTGAAACAGACTTTGTTGATTTTGTAATTCCTGGAAATCCTTGGAATTGCATCGTAATTCCATGTATGCCAATATTGATCTAAAGACATAATACTATTAATCAGTGTCTTATAAAATGTAATGGAGTTATCCTAATTTAATTACCAAATATATTTCCTCGCTAGAACGGAAACCAAATTTTTACAATCTGCATTTAACGTGTTTTTATTTCTGATTGTATTGATTAAAGAGATGGTTTGAGAATGTTTTTTTCTGGATTTTGGAAATTGTTTTTTTTTTTAGTTGAGATTGATAATTTGTTGTACCAGTAAATCTATTATAAAGTTTTATCTTCTATCCCACTGTAAAACTGATAATCCAACAAGATTGATGTTTGAGCCTCTTGTGATCTCAATAGTGAAAATGCTATAACTCTATTAGTCTTCAACCAATTTTCATAAAACCTTGTTGATTTTATGTAAGTGTATAACCAACACAATAGCCGCGTTTAGACAGCCACAATTTACCGAGGCCGAGTACGGCGCGGCAAAATATTAGCGCCACTGAGTCGGGCCAACTTGGCCCACTTAGCCAGGGGCTTGTGCGCATGCGCAATAATGACCTTGATCCTGTTACTTTATTCACGGGAACAACAAACTAGGCTAAACTTTGCTGTGTATCTCAAAAAAAAAATTGAGATTCTTAAGGTTCGTTTGCACTTTAAACGAGATAAATTCAACAAAAACTTCAAAATCATAGCTTTGTTTATAGCAGGTGCCATTTTGTATGTTTGTGTTTTTTTCGCCTCCTCTGACTGGAGAGCAGGTCTACTTTTGATTTTGGCCCAGTGAAAACAGTGCTGTGTAAACGGTAGAGGCCAACCGGGCCAGTACGGACCGAGTATGGTTCACTTCAAGTGGTCCAGTTTTTATGGCTTTCTAAACGCGGCTAATGAGAGATCGTGAGAAAAAGTTTCTCGCTTCTAAACTGATGCTGAAGTCTGCTTATTTGGATCTGATCTATCTACTATTTTAATCAAACAGTTTTGTGGAGGCCAGATTTTCTATCAATTGACACTATTTGGACTTGTAAAGATGTTGGTTTTTATAATAGAATATATTTTATGTTATATAATCAATCAAAAAAATTCTAATTTCCAACCACCTGCCAGTGAACATATTTGGATCTGTTAAGAATTAGAAATGACATTTTCACAGTAAAATACCAGAAAAATATGGTAAAAGATATTACGTGTTATATTACTCCGACATTTGATCTTTAGGAATTATACCTAGAGGATACGACATTACTTAGAAAGCTTCTTATAGACGTAACAGAATTACTATACTCTATCCTCCAGTCTTTTACTTTATAGTCTATCTTTAATGAAATCAGTAGTCTCTGCCTTCCAGTCTCATTCTTTCTAAGAGTATTTATGAGAGGTTTTAAACAGCTTAAAGGTGGATTCCAACCATTCTTGAGAGGTCTTGAAATCTGGATTCCGCTTCTAAAACTTCATATTTCTTCCTGCTTTCAAATATATAATAGCTATGAGTCAGAAAAAGTAATTTCATTATTTCAAAACTTGAGGGATGCAGAGTAGACAAACCTAAATAACAAATAAACATTATTAGGTATGTGGACTCTCTGAAAGGTATACTGAGTTGACAAACCTAAATACTAAACATAATAAGCTATGTAGACTCTCTGAAAGGGATGCCTAGTTGACAAACCTATTAGCTATGTGAACTCTCTGAAATGACTATGGAGTTAATGAATTATTTTAACTTTGTCTTTAACATGGATGTCTGGTTAATTGGTGAAGACAAAGAGTGGCTTCTGATTTGGAATTCCAAACGATAAGTTAAAAGTTTGCTTTTTCAGATGTGTTCTTGTGATTATTAGGTCTTTGAAGGAGTAGAAAATAACTCCTTTATCCTCAATAAGCTTGAGTACAATTTCTAATTTTCCAGTTCTATTGAAGTTTTTATTGAAATTCTCAGAGAAAATCGGTTTCAATCCATCATCTAAAACCAATTTTAATTTCCACAAATCTTTTTATGAATTTTATACAAATCAGGAATTTGACGGAACGTGACTGAAGTTGAAGTTTTTTTTCTGATTTTAATATTGAAGATTGAAAGAATTGAAGAAATGATTCTCGAATAATCTTGAGATTTATCTCACAAGTTAAGTCCTGAGACTGTCTCAAAAAATTTAAACTTTGGTGATACCCAAATATTAAGAAGTAAAGCAATTTGATTGGTTAATAAAACTAGCTTCAGACAGGATCCTTGTAAACGTAAGTTATCCTTGTGAAGTCATTGCCAAGAGTTTTGGTCAAGAACCAGCCTGTAGCTTGTGAACCTTAATTGATATCCTTGTAAGACCAATACCAAGGTGATTGGCCATGAACCAACTAGTCGACTGGATCCTTGAGAACCTAAGTTGATAACATTGTAAAATCATTGCCAAGATGTTTATTTCTTCTTTAACTAAAAAAAAAACAGGTATTTTCCAAAGTTTATTGATTGTATGGCCTAGTTGCTGTGAAGAGATGCTCAGAAAAAACAAAATAACATATTACAAATCTTAACAAACATAAAATCACGTTAATCCTTTTAAAAGATTTTTCTTGTTTTTCCAGACAAGGTATTTTAAGACTAAGTATTAAGTTCGATTCAACAGAATATCATTTTACTAAGTGCCTCGGGCTTTGATAAGAAAAAAACTTGAAAGGCATGCTGGGTAATGAAGTAAAAGCTTTATTCAGAGGCGGCAGAACAAAATAGATTTTTATATTTATGGTTCCAGCTTTTTATCAAATTGAATTTTCCAAGTGAAAAATCTTTTTGTTCTATGAATAGAGATTATTGTAGATAAAATTGGATAATATTGCCATATCTTTCTCTTTGAACATTAAAGAATATTTATTTTAGAATTCCTACTGTAGTTACCAATGTGTAATTTCTAATTCAGAAAGCCTATGTTGAAGATTAAAGTAGATTTTTATATTTATTGTTTCAGCTTTTTATCAAAATGTATTTTCCAAGTGAAAAATCTTTCAACTCTGTGAATAGAGATTATTGTAGATGAAACAGAACTGGATTAAGATTAATGCTGTAACTATCTCTTTAAACTTTAAAGAATATTTTTTGTTACATACAATCTCTATTGAAGTTAAGAAATTGCATTTCTAATTCAAAACTCTAAATATTCTGTAAATGAACTGGGATAATATTGTTTTAACCCTAAGCTACCAAATTAAAATATCTAATTTAAAATCTTTTCATTTCAATAAAGATTGCTTTAGATAAAATCAGAAAATATTAAAAGCAATCTTTCCCTTAATATTTCTTGGTGTTCAAAACGTACTGTTAGAGTCAAAACCTGAAAATAAAACTACATGCACTGGTGAAGGATTGAAAATAATGGCAATATGACCGACATTTTTACGAATTCATTAATCTGTTAAGAAATTCTTTAAACTATGATATATTTATACCATAGTAATATCTATAGAATATTGTAATACCTTCATCATGGTGAAGAATTGATCGAGAATTAAACCTGACGTAGAAGAGAAAACGATGATTAATGATGAGAAAAAAAAGATTCTGGTCAGATCATTAAAGAGAAACTGAAGTTATAAAAACAAAATATAACCCAATATTAATGATTAGTATTAGAATGTGAAATTGGTCCAGATTTTTTTATTATTGCAAAACCATTTAAACCTAATTATTATGTCCTATATAATTATAATTAATATAGCTGATGCATTACTGCCAAATATAGGCTAAATATCATCTCATAATGATGCCAGCATGATTGTGTTTCTGATACACAATCCTCATTTAGAAATGGGAGGTTAACTCTTCGACATACGACTTAATGTTAGCTACTTGACTTGAGCTCATCTCATACTGCTGAAACATGTTTCTGATATACAATCCTCAACAGGACAGAGAAATTTAGGCTTATGAACAAAATGAGTGAGGTCTCCATAAAAGATTCCAAGAAATTGTGATTATTTTCAGACCAACTAGCCTCTTCCCAGTTTCTTTAATTTAAATAATAAAATGATTAATTACTATTTTTCTGTTTATTGTTCAAGATGACTCAATGAAGGAAGAAAAAACCACAATAAATTGATGTTAAATAAATACACGAGTTTATTTTCAGCTCATTGGAAATGTCAATTTTTTTAAAACCAATAAATTATGGAGAAAAATATTTATTACTGATATTTGTAATTTGTTTGAGATTTTTATATTTTATGGTTCGGAATTCTGCAACCTGACATTTTGATTAATACCCATGTTTCCAACTGACTTTTCTAAAAATTTTTGGGTAGGGGGAAGGGGGCTACTAGGGGCTTCAAAATTATCAAGCGGGTTGGGCTGGGGGGTAACGGGCAATTCTTTCTATAGTATTATGATAATCACAGCTTGAAGTGTGTTGGAAGAGAAAGCATGCCTTGTCATTGTAAAAATTTTCAAAATGGAAGCTTCTTTGTTTAACTTTAAAGAAAACAGAATTAAAGTAACTTTCATTTGATTTTTTTTCTTCAAAAATAACAGCCTAGGTCTATGAGAGTAGGCCACTTGCATCACAGATGTAAGCCTGGGTCTTTGAGGGTAGGTCACTTCCCACTGTCCCTTGCAACACAGACTGATGTAGGCCTACTTTTATTCCTATTGTTGATACCTGGTTCTTCACATTTTTTGCACTCTGCACTTTTTATTGTTCATTAGCATTAAAAATAGTCTCTGTTTTGAGACTAAGCCAAGTCGACACAACTTAAAATCTAATCTAACATTGTTTATCTTTTGGTGAAAGTGTTTCCATGGTGATTGGTATTTACAAAATTTCTATTTTCAGATCCCTGCAGCAAACATAAATGCATCCTTCCACAAATTTGTCAACTGAACGAGCAACGGAAACCTGTATGTAAATGTGAATTTCGCTGCCATGACGATTTCGAACCAGTTTGTGGCAGTGACGGGAGAACATACAGCAATGAGTGTCTCCTACGACGAGAAGCATGCAAGTCTCGGAAAGAAATTACTGTCACTTACAATGGGAAATGTAGCACAGGTTTGTTGATACTAATATTTGCATGATTTACTTCGTTAATTAACTCCATTGTCCTAACGAGTTTTGGTACTAATCGTCATTAATATTTATTTACTAATTAAATCACGGTACTATTAAGAAAGGGATTATAATACAAGTTGAGGACTAGTTGCCTTCTTTTGAAACTCGTTTCATCCATCCATTTATCCAATCATTCATTCATTTATTTATTCATTCACTTGCTCATTCATTCATTTTTGATACATTTATCGAAAATAACCTTGTAAAGGAAGCTTTCAAATGATTTAAGATTTTCATGTGTCCATTCAGTCATTCAATGGAGGCTTCAAATTAAAATGCATTTACCATTTTGATTTGAAATTTGTATGCATGAAATAGATTCATCACTTAGCTCGAATGATTTAATAAGGAAATGTGGGTCTGTATGTCGACTTGTATTTCACTAGAGAATTCTCTCAAATTGTCGAACTACTTTCAGAGAAAATAAAATTCTCACAAATTTTATCGCTGTGATTTGGAATTTTTATATTCTATGTTTTAAAGGCCCTTTGAGATCTATTTCTTGACAAAAGCTTTTAAGGAATTTTGCATAAATTCACTCTAAAGAAATTTGGTTTAAAAGGGTGAGAAAATATTTCAATTATAAAATTTGACAGGTTTCACATCAGACTGAATTCTATTTCATAGAGAATGACTTTTAGAAATCTGTAATCTGTAAAGATATTTAAATCATGAGGAGAATACTTACTTGTGCCTTTTCAAATCACAATTCATAATTCAGTCTACAAGCTGACAACATAGAAAACCAAGATCACAATTCTTAAATCAAAGTTCAAATCACATGGAGAAAACAGACAGTCAATGTTCATTAGTGGACTTGCACACGTCTAATATCTTGCAAGCGCCTTTATAGCTATCTTGGATTACTCAATTACTAAATTATTCTCACTGTGAAGGTCTTCTTAAGTTTTCCCTGTATATTGTATGTATGCTGGGCAGGCTGCATATTCTCTAAACTATCTTTGCGCTAGCATATCCTAGAAACAGTGTTAGAAATTAAGACGCTAGGATATCCTAGACACGGTAGAATTTTAGGCAGGAAGACATCCTAGCGATCAGAGAATACACGGCGAGGACAATAATGAAATTATGATGAAACCTTGATTCGCATGTTAAAATGAATGAGAAGAATGGAATATTGTAGCCTTCAAGTTGTATCCTAGCTGAGTTCTCTTGTCTGTTGTGGGAATGAATTAAAGTTAAATGTTGTTCATTGTGAATTTTAAAAAATTTGGGGACTTGTAGGGGACTGGGCAAGTTTGTTAGTTATTTTTTTTTTTTTTTTTTTGAGGGGGTGGAGGCATACATGTTTTACAGGTCAGGAAAAAAATCTGGAGATTTGCCACCGTGGAGGGGGAATGTTACAAGGGGAAAAACTGCACGTTCGATATCATTCCTCCTTTTGAGACGATTTTAAGGACACCTTCCAACGTTAGCCTATAAGGAGGCATGTAATATTGTGACTTTCTGAAATCATTTTTCCATTTAAAAATTAAATATAGTTGTAGATATTTGAAAATAATTTTTTAAATAGAGTTGAAGAGTATAGGTAGGCATATGGTTTGTAAGTGTTAAAAATGTTTTGTGTAGAAAGTCTAACTGCATTTATATTGTTATAAACAGTCAGTGAAATATCGTATTGGATTTAGTTTTACAGACCTTGTCATTTGTAAATCAAGACAAAATTTGAATTGAATTTATATTACGTAAAATTTTAGTAAAAATAACAGATATCTTGTATTTTGATTGAATAAAATACATTTTTATTGTAATTTTCTGTGCTTTATTAGACTTTGAAAGAAATAGTTTTAAATCCAACTGTTCTGGTGTAGATTGAGCCAATGAAATCAAATCATTTTAACACAACGTGTAACTTTAGAATGAAAATAAATTTACAAATGGCCAGGTCTGTTAGTGGTTATGTGATGAAGAATTAAATATTTTATTTTTAATATTAGCTATCCGAGTTCTGTCGGGAACAGCTGTACAAGATGAGTATAACACTAATGGTAATTGACCAATCACAACCTTCCTTTTTCTTCTCTTCACATCTTCTTACTTCTCATTGGTCCATGCTAGACAATTTAAATTTTTAAATTTTGAATTTTTTGATTGACTGTATTTATTCCAATTTGACTGCATTACCTATTACTGATATATGCTGAAATATTTTCAAAAATATTCACTATTTTTTTACTTTCTTTTGAGGTTTAACTTATTATTCAGAAATTGAAGTTTTTTGCTTGATTATTAAGAAACTAACACCTTGCTTGAAGCATGTTTTATTTTAAGATATTTGTATGCATGAAGACCAATGTGAATAAAGAAGTTAAATGCACATTATATACAAACCCACAGAATTGTAATAAACATGTAACCACACCCTATATTCAAGATTAGGGGTGTTTCTAGAAAGTGCCTGAGGAGGAGGCAAGAAATGAGAGATGTCTCTCCGAGCAAGTTTCAATGTCCCTTGAGGCCAGGGGACTGGGTGCTGGGGGCTGCCCAGAAGTCAACAGATTTCAGATGGCTTGAGATAAATTTTGAACGGGCCTGGGAATAGAACCACGGCCCAATTACCCACCCCCTAAATACACTACTATTTAAGACATTAAAAAAAATTAGAAAACTCTCTGAAAGTTGAGTGAAACCTAATAAACATTACTAGCTATGTGGACTCTCAGAAAGGGGTGAAGAGTTTAAAAATCAACACAGCAATCTATCCATGACGATTATTTTGTAGATAATCGAAATAACTTTAATATACAAATAAAACATATTTCACAGTGTGAACTCTACAAAAGAGATGCTTAGTATTTGTTGTGTGCAATTGTTTTTGAATGCTGAATATGAATATTTAATGTTGTTTGGTTATAGAGCCTATAAATTATAGAGCCTATAGAACCTATAAATTATAGAGCCTATAGAACCTATAAATTATAGAGCCTAAAGAACCTATAAATTATAGAGCCTATAGAACCTATAAATTATAGAGCCTATAGAACCTATAAATTATAGAGCCTATAGAACCTATAAATTATAGAGGTTATAGAACCTATGGAACCTATTAATTATAGAGCCTATAGAGGTTATAGAACCTATAGAGCCTATAGAATCTATAAATTATAGAGCCTATAGAGGTTATAGAGCCTATAGAACCTATAAATTATAGAGCTTATAGAGCATGGTCAATATTTGCACTAGTGATATGTACTGAATATAGTAGAGTCTGTAGTACTTATAGTCAATGTTTAGATTTTGTCATTAATGTTTTTTTTTTAATCAGGGGCCACCCCTAAAAAACAACAAGACAAGTAGAGTCTGTAGCAAATTATTTGATGTTTAGATTTTGTGATAGGTGTTTTTTTATTTTTTTGTCAGTGGCCAAGATCAAGCCACCCCTTAAAATCATCAACAAAGACCTGTGAAATATTTTGTTGAACTCCTTGGGCTTGGGATCTGTTGTCATGTGGAGATAATACTTTCTGATTTTTCAACCTGGTTTCCCCCTTGTCAGTGATGCAGGTCAGAAGGGCTGACATGAAAGAAGCTTTTAGTCTTTGGATAGTACAATAAATCGAGGCCCTGTGTCATACAGGCTGTACACGTTAAAGATAACTTGACAGTTGTTATTTGAAAAAAATAGAATAATTCTGATGTCCTGGTAAAATTTCCCCCATTGTACACTGTATGGTGTCAGTCTTCATTAACCCAATCAGGCTGCAGATGGTCATCTTCTGATCGATCCATATTTTCTCTTGTTTCAGAAGAAATCGCCAGTGCAGAAAAGTAGAATTTTTTTCCATTTTCATTTCAATTTTCTGATTGGTCCATATTTTCTGTTGTTTCAGGAGATAACCCATGTGATAATATTCGCTGCGGGCCTGAAGAAGAGTGTAGTATTGATCGTCAAGGGCGAGCGTCATGTATCTGTCCCAACCCGTGCGAGCCTGTTATGAGACAAGTCTGTGGAAACGACAGTATGACCTATGATAACGAATGTGAATTGAGACGAAAATCGTGTTTAACCAAAAAATATGTTACAGTAGCTCATACTGGTGTTTGTGGTAAGTTTTCTGTCCTGAAGATTTAAAAAAGTGGCAATATATTGGACAATGTATAAGAAAAGAAGGCCATGTAGGGGCAAAAGATTAAACATGTATTGCTAGAAGGTAGTAAATATGGACGTGTATGGACAAAAAGCAGAAAATGTGAGCAAACATTGTCTCTTTTGAATTTTTTCGTATCTCTTTAAAAGCAGTATTTAATAGATAATTGTAAAAATGTACTTGGTAGTATCAAAGGAGCAAATATATCAGGAAATGTGACTAAATATAGACATATATTTGCCAAAAAGAAACAAAATTCAGACAGAAACTAAAAAGAAGTGAATGTGAAAATGTACTAGGTACTACGTTTCTGGAGAGAGGGGAGAGGTTATATCAACTGTAAGATGTCATGATAGCCTTGCATGTAATTGTGTCTAAACTTCAAATGTGAAAATGTATTTGCTCAACTTATACTCATCAAGAGAGACATTAAATCGGCTGTAAGATGACATTGTAATAAGTTCAGATAGATAATTATAGCAGTGATATAATAAAGTTAGGGTGTACATTCTCTCTTACATGTAATAAGCGAGGGTGTACACACCTACTGTCTGGTAACCATGTTTGATATTCTCGTTAAAACATCTTTCGTAACAAGTAATTTATGGTTGCAAGCCCCAATGGGATGAAGTGTTAAATAGTTGAAGTAGTAGGCTAAATATAAACCAATGTTGGTCTAGACTTTGACATGTTTATATTTCCAATTTATGTAAGTTTACAGGCGTGTAATTTCCAATTTGTAATTGTTAAAATTGTTTTGGAGTTTGAAAAGATGGTAAAACAAGAATTTAGATATTAGATATTTATTATAATTGAAATCAATTGATTAATGCTATTTTTAAAATCATTATAGAAATGTTTAAAACATGGCCCTTTCTGTGATGTAAATAACATAATTTGTATTTTTTTCACAGGAGGTGACGTCCCGTGTAGAAATTATCGGTGTGACTATGACGCTGAATGTATAGAAAACGAGGGGAAACCATCATGTGAATGTCGAAGCTGTAATGAACAATATGACCCAGTGAGTCAATAGTTTATTATTTTGGATGCTGAGTTGACAAAACCAGTCACACAGTGTTATCAGGTGTTCATAAGAGTCAGCAAGACCTGCATCAGTCTTTATCTTTCTTTTTTTTCAGTCATTATATTGTCCCCATGGACTGAATGTTAGACAGGACCATGTCCAATGAATGTAAAATAAAGAGTTTATTATTATTGATATTTAAAACTCAATACTTTTCGTAGTGGAACAAGCTAGAAGCCCTTCAATATGCCATGTAGATCCTCCAAATTCCACAATTTTTTAGTCCATAATGTCTGTTAAGATACCTCTAACATTTGAGAAAATGCATGCCATGAAATTCTGTATCCCATCAAATTTCCCCTTATGTTATGGAACTATTTACTTGTATGTGTATGTATATTTTCTAGGTTTGTGGAGATAATGGTATAACATATGAAAACGAGTGTAAATTAAGATATGAAAACTGTAAATTCAAACTGACTGTTGGTATCAAACATAGAAGATCTTGTAGTAAGTAAAGTTTTTATATCTCTTTTATCAAGAACACATTACATTCACTAACATTCTCTTTCATTTGAGGCAGGGAATATTTACAGTTTTGCCGCACATTTTCGAATGATCTTAGCGCTAGGATATCCTAGGGTCCTTGTGTCTAAAACTGTATCTAGAATATCCTAATGCCAAGATACTGTACCGACTTATCAGAACTATTTCAGGGAGGCTTCAGCCAGCGTTAAATGGAATTGAAGAAGAAATAGAGGAAATGCTCTGTGAAAGCACCAAACATCTTTGATGATAATTTCAGAATATTTTTCATTACTGCGCACAATTTTGCTTGTAATTATTGTAGAAATATTAAAACAGAACCTGAAACATGATATTTATTCGAGATTCATGCTGTTTATCATTATTGTATATATTCTACCTTTTTCACCAGTAACTATTGAATATTTCAGATGGCTGCGAGAATGTAAAATGTGAATTTTATGCGATCTGTGAAAGTAACGGTAATCAAGCTAAATGTGTCTGTCCAACATCGTGTATTCCAGTGAGTATATATTTAATACAGTAAATATCACAATGTCAGTCAGCTATAAGTATCCCCGATACACATTTAAAGTTGAGAAATTCTCTTTATAATCTCTTTTATTTGTTTATCAACAGGTGGAAGCTGAAGTCTGTGGAAGTGATGGACAATCTTATCTCAATGAATGTGAACTGAAAGTAGCAGCTTGTGAACGAAAACAATTTATTTCTATAGCTTCCACAGGTTCTTGTAGTAAGTATTAAAGGTTATTTCGCTATGACTATATGAATATCTGGGCCAGGGCTTCCGACAGTCGGTCTGTAGTCGGCTTACCCCCTAATACCTATCTTGCCTGTACCAGGCTATATAAATGAAGATGTTAACAACTTTCAAACTGTGGAAACATCAATACTTACCTCTAACACTGGGTTGGAACACTGTCTTTTTATGGCAGTGGAATAGCTTAGTCGGTAGCGAGCTAGATTGTCGTCTGCTAGGTAAGTGTATTGGATTTGAATCCTCCAGATAATTCTGATTCCACAGACAGTGCTTTTGAAAGTTGTTTCTGTGTTGGCTTTCAACCACTATCACCAATACTATTAATTAACTGAGAAGTAATAAATATCATCAAAATGAATTATGTTTAATTTTTCAGATAAATGTGCGGATGTTGTTTGCAAATACGGAGCGAAGTGTGAAAATGGAATCTGTGTCTGTCCTATCATGTGTCCGACTACACGCGAGACAGTCTGTGCCAGTGATGGAAATATCTACTCTAATGAATGTGAGATGAGAAGAGCGTCATGTGCCCAGAGTGTTGACCTTGACATTGTCCCTAGCGACCGTTGTCAAGATGAAATCCATTCAGGGTCAGGGAGTTCAGGTAAGTGAACTTTCTTGAAAATTTCAGGATAAAATGTTTTCATTATTATTATTGGTGTTTTAATCTTAAAAAGGTTAATATTTATTCTGGTTTTAGGATACAGATTTCTGATTGGTTGATACTAAAATTGATGTATCAATTGACCAATCAGATGAGTAGAATTATTAACTAAAATTAGCATGAAATAGAAAGTAGAGTTTATCTAATTTTTGATGTAGTTTTTAAGTAGTTAGATTTCTAATATTTATTTTTTTTATATCTTTTTCAAAAAGACACCAAATTCACAACAAGATGTTGGACAGATTTTTCTTTTTAAATGAAATGATAAATTTTGAATTAACCTTTGAACTCTGGGTTGAATTAAATGATAAATTTTGTATGTGTTTTAATTTAACAACATGGCAGGTAAAATTTTTGGAAAAGATATGAAAAATATAAATAAATAATTATTTTAATAATTATTATAATTATTGTGTCTTCTTAACTCTTCTGACTTTGTTAATATTTATTTTTTTGGTATTCTCTCTTTTTTGTTTCTCATTTTCACCATTTAAATGTTAAGCACTGTGGTTTTATTCCTTGGTTCAGTTTAAATCCAGGCAGGTGGCCAAACAAATCCTTAAAATACAGCTGAATTCCTACACCCTGTTTAAACTAAAACAACCAGTATTTGAATTATTAACATCACAAGTATTTAAGGAGCTATATGATGGGGAGGAGCTATATGGTGGGGTAGGGCTATATGGTGGGGAAAGGCAAAGACGAAATGTATCTAAGAATTGTATCGGTATTTGAGGGTTGAAGTTCCAGTGTTGGGCTAGGGGTAAAAAAAATATTGAGCACTCCCTCAACAGGGATGATATTTTGATATTTTGAATGGATATCGAGTTCTACGATTCGGCGAGGGTGATAATCATACAGAGTTCCTGATCCTTACCTGAAGAACAATGACCAGGATATCTGACAGTAGTGTGCCAGAACAGTGCCCACCTTCACCCAAATAATATTTAAAAAGGTTCAGGGTACTAGGGTTGGGCTAATGGGGAGGTGAGAGAGCACTCCCTCCATCCTGGGCTGATATTTCAGAAGGTTCAGGTGATTTGATAATGACATCATGTGACGAGACTACTTGTAAATATGGTGGAAAATGTGTCCAGGATGATGATGGTGATGGTATTTGTTATTGTCATGACAACTGTGATGCTCTCAGGTGAGTTCACTAAAATTAAAAAAAATATTGGAGAATCTCTTTTTATACGCCCACATGGAAATGTGGATGTATATTGCCGTCGACCCTGTCCGTCCGCCCGTCCGTCCACATTTGTTGTATGCACGATAGAGGCTACAGTTTTTATCTGATCTTGATGAAACTTAGTTTGCATGTATATATTGATAAGATCTCGGTCAAGTTTGAAATTGGTAGTAATCGGATGAACGGTTTCAGAATTATTGCCCTTGACTTAGTAAAGACCCGTTACATTTGGCTTGTATGCACGATAGAGGCTGCAATTTTTGTCTGATCTTGATGAAACTTAGTATGCATGCATACATTGATGAGATCTGGGTCAAGTTTGAAATTGGTAATAATCAGATGAAAGGCTGCAATTTTTATCCGAACTTGATGAAACTTAGTATGCATGTATATATTGATGATATTTCGGTAAAGTTCAAAATTGGTAATAATTGGATAATCGGTCTCAGAGTTATTGCCCTTGACATAGTAAAATTGTGTTAAAATTTCCTTGTATGCCCAATGAATGCTACAATTTTGATACCATCTTGATGAAACTTTGTATGCATGAATATATTGATATATATATTGAGGTATCGGTCAAGTTTGAAGTTGGTAATAATTGGATGAACGATTTCAGGGTTATTGCCCTTGATTAGTAAAATTTGGCTTTTAGGCAGGCCATAGACTACAGTTTTTCTCCGATATGGATGAAACTTAGTATGCATGTATATATTGATGAGATATCGGTCAAGTTTGAATTTTGTCATAATCAGATGAATGGTTTTGGATTTTGGGGAAGGGAGGGTTTGATTCTCCCAAATGTACAGGCCTAGGGTGGAGCAGACACCTTATTTAGAAATTAGGATTAAGGGTCTTGATATTGGGTTTTCTTCTGTTCTGATTCTGATCTGAAATAAGAAAAAATAACTCGCCCACTGGGCGAGAAGTATAGTATCTGTTATGTACTGGTTGTTTTTAGTTTACTATGAACAATATTATCATTTAAGTTCTTATTTTTTGAATATGCAACTATCATTTTCTGCTTATAGACATGGGGGAATTTCTCTTGAAGGCTCTTATAGTGGGCATAAACTATCTTGCTGGTTGTATTGAATAGGACAACAAAGGGTGCTATGCCTACATTATGATGAATATTTAGTCCTATAGGTCTTGCTGTATTCAATGTCTCAATCCAATGGGCTTCCCTAGATTGACGGAATTTGGTAGTTTCATCTTCGGGCAAGTCAATTTCTATACGCTCAATTGGGATTAGGGTGAGATCGTCTATTGAATGGTCGTCGAGGTTGAAATGATTAGAAACAGGCTTGTCTTTCTTTAATTCGATGTCCAACCTATGAGCATTAAAACAGGTTCGTAAATTATTCTTAGTTTCTCCTACATATTGTTTGGGGCATTTCTTGCATGAAATTAAATATATTACATTCGAATGTTCACATGTTAGATGTTCCTGGATCGGGTACCTTTTATTCGTAGAGTTGCTTACAAAATAATGAGTTTCTGATATAAAGGGACATGTTTTGCATCTACTGGACAAACATGGAGCACTTCTTAAACCTGGAGGTACTTCGGCATAAAGTCTGTTTTTAGCTGCTATCTGTGCTAAGGTGGAATTTTTTATGTTTCGTAAAAATCATTTAGAGTACCCACGCTCTTTCAGTTTTGAGAAAACAATCGTACAGACTTGGTTGAAATCAGAATTCGATGAAATCGTAAAACTTGTGACTTAATTATACCAGAAAAGGTATGTTTTGGGTGAAAGGAGCTCTTGTACAAGAGTTGATGAGTATCTGTTTCTTTGAAATACACTTTAATGTCCAGTTTATTTGTTTCTGCTATGGAATCTCCCTTAAAGACAGTGGTCACGTTTACGGTTAGTTTGATAGAAGGATGGTGGTTGTTGAGAATTTCAAAGAATTCCCAAAACTGTTCGATAGAATAAGTCCAAACCATAAAAATGTCATCCAAAAAGCGTCCGTAAAAAAGTGGGTCAAATGGACAGAGGGGCAACACCTCACGTTCCCACTCTGCCATGAAAAGGTTTGCGTACGAAGGGGCGAATCGTTTGCCCATTGCTGTCCCTGAAGTTTGTAAATATGTTTTACCATTAAATTTACAATCGAGACAAATCTCTAAAAGCTGTAGAATTGCATCATCGGGTCTGTTTGGATCTGGGTTTCTATTAAAAGCTTTACGAACTGCCATTAAACCAGTAGTTTTATCGATATTGGTATACATAGAAGAAACGTTGATAGAAATTAAAATACCATTAGAGGGAACTCAAAGATTTTTTATTTTATTGACAAAATCGGTTGTGTCTTCAAGGTAGGCGCGATGTTGACATGCTAGAGGTAGTAAGAAATGATCAATGTATTCTGACACTGCACATGACTCACTACCACAGTCAGATATAATCCCTTTAGGGATTTTATTCGAGATAAACCACTCCTTGGTTGGATTCTTATGGATTTTAGGCAAAGTGTACAAATGTCTCTCACGACAATCAGGTTTGGCAGACAGATAGTCATATTGTTTCTGTTTGAGATAACTAGTTTTGACTAAATCGGCAAGAATATTGTTAATCATGTTAGCAGTTTCTTTGAAAATTGGTTTCGGTAAAATGGCATAATGTTTAGGATTATTCAGTTGATTCTCTGTTTCTGAATAGTAATCCTCCCTATTCAGAATGACACAACATGAACCTTTGTCACTCTTTTTAATAACAATGCTATCGTCTTAAGGCTTCACGTTCCACTCATGTGAGATTAGGCTTTTTGTGTGTTATGGAAAGGTTCGCTGTTTGGCTATTCATACTCGCAAATGCTTTCAATATTTCAGAATGGATGGCGGCCTGAGGGGGTGTCCACATGGATTTAGGAATAAACAATTTTCTAGCACCACGTGGGGGTGGTTTTGAAAAAAATATGTGCAGCTAAGATTTAGTTGAAATAGTTCAATGGATGGTCGGAGATAATTTAAGTTAGCTATCTTTAGTGTGGGAATAAATTTAAGTCCACGGTCTAAGATTGAATGCTGAAGGGGTGTGAGAATTTTGCGGCTCAAGTTAACTACAGTTTGGCCTAGCGGTGGCCTCTCAGTATTTTTATTCCCAGTAATTAGTTTAAAGACTTACTCGATGCTTGAAGCTGGTGTATCCAAAACAAATAAATGCTGTTTGCTGTTTCTGGAGACCAATGAAGATTATCAACTGGTTCGAATTCTTCTTCGTAGGTTGGTAAGATTGTTGCGCTGTTGATACTGGACTCCATCATCATGTTGTTGAGGGTGCTGAGGTTCTGTTGTGCTTTCTTCGAGATTTTATTTTAAATGGGTATACATGTGAAGAGGATCTTGGAGTTTGGGAAGGTTTTGTAGGGATTAATTTCTGGGCTTGGTTAAAGGTCTAATGGCTTATAGGCCTGATAGATACTACATTTTTTATACGATCTTGATGAAACTTGGTATGAGATCTCTGTAAAGCTTGAAATTAGTAAAAATCAGATGATTGGTTTCACATATTAAACAACTACAGACTTTGTTATCATTTCTGACAGCTGGTAATGGGCGTATGTTACCTTGCCTGGCAAGCTATCTTTTAATAAGATAGAGGAGTAGATGTAAATATATTTTATAAATTGACCAACAGATTTTATTACGATGTTACAATAACAGAATTATATATTTTAGAGCACCTGTTTGTGGTTCTGATGGTCGTAACTATGGTAACGAATGTCAGTTAAAATATGAATCTTGTCGTCAACAGAAAGAAATCTCTATTTTTCCTGACGACAGTTGCGATGGTTAGAATTACTTTATTTATTCTTGAACTAAAATACTTCATTAGTTTAACGTGATGGCTTTAACTCTGACTATTTTTGTTAATAAAAATTTTGCCAACATAAATCTCATAATAAATTTGGATAAATTAAAAAAGCATTTGTTTCATAAATGGGCTAAATTTATTTTTTGTTTCAATTTTTGAGTCGGTATTTATGATATTTCTATTTAATTTAGATATGGGAGAAGAGGAACCTTGTGATGGATTACTGCCCCTGGTAGATCCTAAAACTGGGAATGATTTTGACTGTAAGAAGAGTAATATCTGTCCAGGAGGGAGTTACTGCCATCGTGGCTCTTTCTTCGCTAAATGTTGTCTGGAAGGTAGGTACTGTTTATAAGTTATTCACTCTGAAATTTTTATATAAAAATATTGTTGAAAATATTTTTTTTTTTTTATGAAATTACTATTAATAAGAAACTACTGATTTTGAAATATTAAAATTTAAAATTTGTTATCTGAATCACATTTCAGTCAAATTACAAAAAACTTATGCCAAATTTTGAGGATTTAGTCTCAAACATGTTTCATAGACTTAAAATAGGCCCCTTGACTGTCAAGAATTGTCAAAACTTAATCAGCTATTATATTACATCTTGTTTCTTATTTTATTTCAGAAAAACAGATTAAACTATGTTCTGATACTAAATATGGATGTTGTCAGGACGGAAAAACAGTAGCTCCTGGTCCGAGTAGATCGGGTTGTCCAGGTACGCAACGGAGAACTCTTCCAGTCTGATAGTCCGCTTTTATATCGCTGCTTTCGAAAGTTGGAGTCCTGTTGCTTCTTAGCTGCTCTTTCAGGGTTTAATTCTCTTGGAATGTTGAGATTTGTGAGAAACTGCTTTTATAGAAAGCTTATAAAGGGAATAAAATTCAAAAATTCTGTTGACCATATATGGAGTCAAGGTTTAAAGATACTATGATTGCTGGGGCTGTTCAATGATAACTCTTTCATTGTGTAAAAATAACAGTAAAAGGGATGCTTTATGGTGCTAAAATATCAACAAAAATGCTGCTTATGTTCCCCTAATCATTAAATTATTGTTAAAAGCAAGACCTCCAAAATAATCCAAAATGGCTGCCTGCCCAAAATATATTTGTGTTTTAGTGTTGGCTAATATTTGCCACCCGCATGTAAATGTTGTATAGTAGTTATAATTTAGTTTTAAACGTAGCATGTATATTGTTTAATTTTTTTATAATTTTTAGTTAGAATTTAATTTTCTTAAAGCATGTTAAATGATAATAATTTATTCATGAATTTTTTACAGAAATTTGTAATTAATTACTTTTCCAGCATTTTTGAAAACTATTCAATATTTCTTAACAGAATGGATATTTTTCAAGGATGAAAGAAAATTCTTTCAATTCAAGAATAGTTTATTCTGAAATATGAAAAAACTGTTCTATTTAAGGCCCAAGTCAATAAAAATGTAAATTTTTATTACAGAGTACTGCCATTGTAATGTTCTTGGTTCGTATGGTTCAACTTGCGAACCCCAAACACGTCAGTGTACCTGTAAGCCTGGAGTAGGAGGACTACGCTGTGACAGATGTCAGCCTGGATATTGGGGACTACATAAAATCATCGAAATGGGAAATCAAGGATGTATTCGTAAGTTTTAAAAAAATTTATTTTCTAGATAGCAGGAGCTACATGGCTCAGTGAGTTAGACGCTTGTTGCTAACCTGAAGGTCCATGGTCCATACATAGGTCGAGGTTTTCAACCGAGTTATTCCGTTACTGACTTAGCCTACAGGTTCTGTCAAGTCAAAGTTCCCTTATTGATTACAACATGGTGTTTCAAGTCTTCATTGGTTTAAAACTGTCTTCATTAGCACAAGTAGGTGTAGAAAAGTAGGATAGAAAACACCATTCTATTTCAGCATGTGGATGTGATTATTATGGATCTATAAGAGATGATTGTGATCAGATGACAGGACGATGTATGTGTAAAACGTCTATTAATGGTATGAAATGTAATTTGTGTAGTGACGGCAACCAACTAGGACCACTAGGCTGCGAAGGTAAGATTTATCATCTTGTTTATGAAAGACACCATAATCAAGTTATGTGGAAATTAAGACTGAAATTTGGAGAAAATGGCCTCAAACTATTGGCTGTCGTATAAAAAAAAAAAAATTTTGGTTGTCGGTTCTAATCTTGGTCAGCTAGTGAAAGCCAACTAACTAATCTTATGCTTCTATTTTCTTAATCTAAGTTTTGTATTGTATTCAGACAAGTCGTTCAGTGTCTAGTGAATTAATGACCAAATTCTGTTTTCAGATGACAACCGTCCCAAATCTTGCCGTGACATGGTCTGTAAGTTTGGAGCTATCTGTGAAGAGAGTCATGGACGTCCCGAATGTGTCTGTGATCAGATGTGTGATGAAAGTGAGGCTAGACGTGATATTGTGTGTGGAACAGACGGACAGAATTACGGCTCTGAGTGTCAGTTGGAGATGTTTGGTTGTCGTCTGCAGAAAGATATTACTGTAGCTTACAGAGGACCTTGTAGAGGTTTGTTACTCTATGATATTTTTTTTAAAAATCTTTCAGCAACATTCTGATTTATATGAATCATAGGGAGTAGTGGCCACAGGATTGTAAATGGGTGCTCACAGGAATTTGGTTTACTGTGTACAATGATCAAAAGTTTTGCAAGTGGAAGTGCGTGGGGGTCGAGACAAAGCTGGACCAGCCTCTAAACCTGATTGTGCTAGTCTGTTTATTCGAAGTCACAAAAAGACGAATAGTCCAATAACTTTTTATAAAAAATATCGAATTGAAATTAAATAATGGTAATTTTGATTGTAGCTGCACCCTCACCGAGAACAACAGCGCCACCTTTATCTACAGCTAGAGCAAGGAAGACAACTCGACATATTCATTCTGGACAGGGTGAAAATTACTCTCCACCTAAAGTACAGGGAACGGAACGACCATTGATTAGTGACTCAAAAGGAGAGTGTGGTAAGTATCAGGGAAATTTGGAGTGCGATACAATTTGAAAAGAAGAAGAAAGTGATATTTTTATAAGTCACACTTGATGTATTTTACTGATGCAGATGTAAGAAAAGAAACCCTTGGCTTGTAAAGTGTGTTAGATCCATTGAGCTTTAGCAATTCCAAAGATGAAAAGGTACTTACTTGATAAACCCTGATTTAATGGGATAGTTTCAGCTGACTGTATCTCTTTTCAATATTAAAATCTGATACATAGTTTAATTGCAATAACAAAAATAATCCTTATATAGTATTGATATTGATATACTGTTTGATATCAATTGGTTATGCAATGAAACCTCCATGTATTTTAGGTCCAGAAGGTAATATAGATGAACTGTGTGTATCTGACGTAGATTGCTGTGTGTCCAACTCAAGCTGTCGTCAAGGACTGTGTCAGTGTTTTGATCAGTTTGTTCCCTCTATTGACAACAGACAGTGTATAGGTAAGATATTTCATCAATTTCAGCACAACAACAGGTCATTGTCACGAAATTTTAACTTTCGTTAGAAAAAAACAAATTTGGTTTGGTTGAATTTTGTCTTTTTGACCAATCAAAAGCCTGTTGTCAGGAAGCTTGTATATTACAATTCCAGAAATCTGATTGGATAATATACTGTCTGTAAATATAACAACCAATCAGAGTTCTTCGTCTTGCGTATTTTTGATTATCTTCAAAGTTTTGATGAAAAACATGATGTTTTACGTTCTTTCTGACAGAAATATTTTAGGAAAATTTAGTTTAAATTTTGTGACATAAGATCCAAGCTATAACTTAATTTTCACTCTTAAGGTATCTAGTCTTCTGAATTTGATCTGTTTTAGCTGACAGAATTTAAATTTAGAGAACTATATCCCTTCGGCTTTCTCCACTTATCAAAGAAAAGACTAAATTCAAAGATTGAGAATAAGGAGTGTGAAATTAAAACCTTTGTTTTAGCTGAGATATAATTTATGCTCAGCCCCCAAAACATTTCAGCCAACCCCAGCATTTCCTGAGCTTTCTTTTCCTGCTTTTAAAAATAAATCTAAAGATTTTCATAAGGAATTTAAAGGAATTGTTACACTCTCATTCTTGAAATGTTTGCAACTTTGCATGGCTGCATTTTGCAAATACTACTACTCTGGTAAAAGGGATGGATTTACTTGGATGAATGCAGCAAGTTTCTAGGTAAGGGTTGCTGTGATATTTGCTTACGTACAGCTTAAACAAGGCTGAAATTTCTGTCGCAAGCTATGAAGTGCGCCTTGTAAGAAAAATTCTGTGCCTGTGCTTTCGAGAGTTGGTCAGCTTTCACACCTAACTACCTAGTTTTTGACAAGTCAAAGAGTTGTGTATAATACACAGAAATATATGAATAAGGAGTTGAGGTTACTTGACCCAATTTAAGTCTCACAAAGTTTCTACAAATTACACGATCACTGGACTAACATGCACTGCTTTCTGCCCTTCGAGGCTCAATTAAGATTTTGTAGCACAAATTGGTAATTAGGTAAAAGAATCTCACAATCACAAGACCACTGAATTTAGCCAGTGGAAGCACAGTATTTAGCAAATAGGTGATTAGGTAAAACAAGCTAAGACCACTACTTTTTGCCAGTGGAAGCACATTCAGGTTTCACAGCATTTAGCTAATCGGTGATTGGGTTAGAACAAGCTCTAAGGCTAGAATTTACTTGTAGAAGTGATACCTGCTAAACCACCAGCCTCGTTAACCAACCCCCCGAACGAAGATGCCTGTACCAATGATCCATGTTACAATGCTGGAACGTGTCAGCTTGATCATTCTCTAGGTTTCCGATGCTTATGTCCCCTTGGTAAAACTGGCACGCTTTGTAAGGACGGTAAGTATTCAGACAAGCACTGAGTTATTTTTGGAAAATATTTTTGATAAAATCAAAATCAGCCATCACTATTCCGAGTGTTGGTTACTGACTTTAAAAATACTTTTGATTTAAATTTATGACTTGATGTTGATGTGGTATTTTGGATATAATATGGAGTCGACAATTGTTTTCACCATTTAATTTTTTTTTATTGATTATTGCAATTTAACATTAGTAAATTTGGATGCACTCTGCATAAATTGGTTCTGGGGAAAATGTGTGATTTTTTGCTTTGCTTCTGCAGCTATTTTGTTACGCTTATTTTTTGCTTCTTTTTTTGATACCTTTTTGTTTTTGAAATGTTTTTTAACCCTTATTTCACTTTTCCTTATTTTTGAATTTTCATTTTTTGTCAAAAAATTTCAGCATTTCAAAGCTTGACCTTTAACTTTTGACGTTACAGATGTTTTCTTCGACATTCCATCATTCAGTGGAAAGTCGTTCCTGAAAGTGCCAAAGATTTCTGGCGCCAGTAAAGATCTGAAGATTGAGATTGTATTTCATACGTTAAATCGTGACGGCATCCTTTTGTATAATTCCCAGAAGCCTGATGGTTCAGGAGATTACGTTTCTTTGTCAGTTAAAGATGGCCATGTTGAATTCAGGTGAGTGAAAAAGTTGGGAATTTGATCGAGATTATTTAAAATGTCATAATTAATGATGATTTGTGAAATCCGAATTCCTTGTAGTGATAATGGTGTCGAAAAATTGTCTAGTCATTTCCCTCAACCATCTTTTGGCTACTCTCGTTCAACAGAGGGAATGAAATAAGGAGAAAAGCTCATGACATAGAAAAGCATTGTATAGATTGAATTGGACAATAAGATACCTTTGTAGTGTATTGGTAGGATCGTTCGTCAATCATATTCAGTCAAAGGTACGTTTTAGGTCAAATATTTTTCATTCTCTTTCAGATACGATCTAGGGGGTGGAGAAGCCACATTAAGATCTCGAAACCCGATCTCAGTCCAGAAAACTCATCGTGTTGTTGCCAGGAGAACCAATGAAGAAGGGATTCTGATTGTAGATACAGAGTTACCTGTCAATGGAGCTAGTATTGCTAGTCATACATCACTGAATCTTAAAGATCCTCTTTATCTGGGTTTTATACCCAACGCAGAAGAATTGTGAGTATATAGGAAAGAAGATACAACTAGCCTATATTTTACAAGTATAAACAACATATGTTCATGAGGATATTGTCTACCAGTTGGAAACTGACCAAACCTCTTTGTAATGATTTTACAAGGATAGCAACTTAGGTTTATGAGGGATCTTGTCTACCAGCTGAACCATCAACCATCATATAATCGACATAACGAAACAAATGACGTCATGTACAGAACCAACTGTGCTACAGAACCTCACATAACCCCCTTCTTCTTCACTTCTCAATCAAACTTAATTTATTAACTATTTCAGCGTATATGAGAGAATTGGAGTAGAACTTGGTCTAGTAGGTTGTATTCACTCCTTTAAAGGCGGTAATGAAATAGATTTTAAAGAATATAAGTTACAATATACAGAAACTGGTTCTACAGATATTGAAAGTGCTGCTGATATCAGTAAGTATTTAGATTGTAGACGTACATGTCCGAATCAGAAAGATAACTATTTTGAGATTTTATGAATTTATGCCTCTGTCCTGGCAAAATTTCCTGCATTGCACACTTCATGGTTTTTCTTGTCACCATTAGCCCAAATGCTATATAAACCTATATGTAATTATTTTTGTGGTTTTTTAGGTGAATGTGGTAATAATCCCTGTAAAAGTATGCCATGTCATAATGGAGCTACGTGTATTATGTTAGATACTGTGAATTATCAATGTTTGTGTCAAGACGGATATAGAGGTTAGTATTAAATAAATCATTAGGAGGTGATATCACCCCCAAAATATGTCAATATCAGTCTCAATATCACACACAACTTGGGAAGCATTAGAATATCTATATTATGTCATTTTCCTGTATACCTCAAACAAAATGTTCTATGTTATTCCTGTCAATCCAGCTGAAAGTTGGAAAGGATTATCCAGAAAAGCTCAATGTGAACAAGCTAAGACAAGCTAAGACTATGTTATGTTAATATATTTTTTAGGTTTGAATTGTGAAGAGTTAACAGATCCATGTGCCAGTCAGCCGTGTCAATACGGTGGTACTTGTGATCGGTTCCTGGAAGAAGATACATTCTATTGTACTTGTCCTGACGGAAGAATGGGGTTGAGGTGTGAGAAAGGTGAGGAAAACATCTTCAGGATTCAACTTTTCATAACTGCAGTAATTAATCAAGATGAAGAGGGAATGGTGAAAATCTCTCTATATCACACAAGAGGCCCATGTTCTTGACTGTGAATGATAAAACCCTACAACAGTCATACACTGTAAAAGAGTAGGCTAATACAGCTGTTCTGACAAATTTCCCTAATTGCAAACTGTACGATGTCTATTTCTATACTACAAAGAGCTCATCTCTGGCTGGTAACGCACGTTTTGAATTTAGGAAAAAAAAGTAAATAGTTGATAGTAACAGGGGGTAAACGACAGTATTTGTGGAAATTGTTTTCTATTTTTAGAAGCGTTAAAGAGAGTGTTTGTACCTCAGTTTGAAGGAGATTCTTATATGAAAATACCACTAGATGATAACGTAGGAAAACAATTATCTATAGAAGTTTGGTTTAGAGCTTCCAAACCTAATGGTAAGTTATAAGCCTTGTTCCTTGCTTTATCTTATGATAAGAATTTCATTCCACTAGTTACTTTGACCAAACTGTTTATCGTGTTATGTGGAATTATGACAAAGGAGATAGGTGATGGAGTAAGCCGTCCTTCCCCTGGTAGAAACACCACTGGTTTGTAGGTTAAGATGAAAAGATTATAAATGATATTTTCAGGTGCTCTGTTTTTTGCTAGTCAGTTTCTAGGAGGACTGGGTGATTTTATATCGTTAAATCTCGTAAAACGGAAATTACAGTATAAATTCTTTCTTGGTACAGGATTAGCAGAAATAGAGTAAGTTTTATGTTTCTTGTTCAGTTTTGCTTTGCTTGTTTTGGGAGACCATTTTCAATTGAGCCAATTTTTACCCAAGTTTCAGCTAAATAATTAAATTGTTTACAAATGAGACAAAAAGCTAGACGTACAGAACTGTCATCAGTTGAAGAAAAATGATAGAAAATAAATTTGAAATGAACCATAAAACAATTTATACGCCCACATCTCTCTATGTGGAAGTATATTGTCGACACCCCCGTCCGTCCGTCGTTCCGTCAGTCAACATTTGCTTGTAAACGCTCTAAAAACTAGATTTTTTGATGGAATCAAATATAATTCGGTATGTGTATATATATTCATAAAACGAAGATCAAGTTCGAATTTGAGTTATTTTCGACCGTTAGAGGCAGAGTTATTGCCCTTGCCCCAAAATCTTGAATATGCTATTACTCACTTAGTTTTCAACTGATTTTGATGAAACTTAAAATGGATGTTATTGGACCTAAATCGAAAGGTTTGAGAAAGTTTAGTTTACTTCTGATTAAATTTAAGGCTTTTTCAAGATTTAGGCCTCTTACGTCAGTTTTGAGGAGTTATCGCCCTTTAAACTCTATACAGTAAGTGCTTCTATCTACATCAATTGCTCGTAAACACTCTGTCCATCTGCCCGTCAACATTTGCTTGTAAACACTCTACAAACTAGATTTTTTGATGGAATCAAATGAAATTCGGTATGTGTATACATATTCATAAAACGAAGATCAAGTTTGAATTTGAGCTGTTTTCGACCGTTAGAAGCAGAGTTTTTGCCCTTGCCCCAAAATCTTTAATATGCTATCTTAGTTTTCAACCGATTTTGATGAAACTTAAAATGGATGTTTCGTTTTTACCATCCGCATGCCGTGGTGGGCGTATATGGCTGTGGTCCACTATCTTTATAATCTGATTTACAGGAGTAAAAAACATATTCATCTGAATAAATGGCATAAAGTTGTAGTACAGAGAAATAATGAGGTGGGAGAAATGACGGTAGATGATCGACCTTCAGTTTCTGGCATTGCCCCTGTAAGTAAATATATATATAGTATATAACACAGTCAGTTAGAGTGCTGAACTCTTTACATGAATAAATAATGGTCACAGGTTCTTATCTTAGTCTGCATGTGACCTTGAATACGTCATCTTTCCTCATTATTCCAACAGACCCAGCTGTAAATATATATTGATCATCTGTGAAAGATCAATGCCAAGATGTTTGACCAAGGATCAGCTTATAGAAAAGATCCTTGTAACCTAAGTTGTTATCCTTGTAAAATATGGTTAGTTCTGTGTTTTTAATTTATATATTAAATATTTTTTCAGGGAGAACATAAAGAATTAAATCTGGGGAGACCGTTATATCTGGGAGGATTTAAAGAGAAGCTGGAAGTTCCATTTTCATCAGGAATCGAATCTGGATTCACTGGATCTATACAGAGAGTAAGACTATTTTCAAACTTCTGTATGTTACTAATAGTGGCTAACCTATACTTAATATCCAACAGAGGATCTTGATTCTTGGACATTTAAGCTGTCCTTGCAGTCATGTCTGGTAAATAGAAAAAAATCAACAGCGCTGGCATAAATGTGTAATCTACCGATATTGTCAGGTTTCTACCGCGTTTGCATGTTGTCCACAGCTCTACCAGCGGGATACCCTATTCTACCGATTTTTGTTTTTTTTCCTAATCAAATTTTCACAGGACCTACCGTTTTCAATGTTCAAATTCTCTACCATAAATCAACAAAATATCTATCATTACTTGTATCTTGATTGCCAGTAACTCCTCACGTAATAATATTATCATTGCTTGATTAATTCTTCTGCTTGGTGTTGGGGATGAAAATGGTGACTAAGATTTTTTGGCAAATCCTGAAGTCATCATTACATACTTGTTATGTTGTATCTAAGATTTTGATGTCATCAATCTTCTGAGGTCATATCCCACCATGGTGCCTCGCACCATTTTGTGATTTGACCCTTCTCTTGTTATGTGACATCATAAACCTTATGAGGTTATATTGTAATTTTAATCTTAACTGCCTTCCACCATTTGTAGTTTGTTTCTTCCAATGATGAAGTCAAAACTTTTTTGGGTATTAAAGGATGGTATTTGATGTCAAGTTTTATTATTTATTACACATGAAATGGGGGGCGTATATTGCCGTCACAATTCTTGACTGATTTCGACGAAACTTGGTATGGTTGTTTGTTGATCACCCAAGAATGAACCCTATTGAAAAATCAGACGAATTGAAAAATATTTACTATTGCCCTTGTTCTTGAAACGCTTGTAAACACTCTAGAAGGTACAATTCTTGATGGATTTTGACGAAACTTGGTGTGAGTGTTTGTAATCACCCAAGGATAAACCCTATCGAAAATCAGAAAAATTGAAAAATATTTAGTATTAGTTATTGCCCTTGTTCTTGAAAACGTATTCAATTTTTAGTTTGTAAACACTCTAGAAGGCACAATTCTTGACGGATTTTGACGAAACTTGGCATGAGTGTTGGTTATCACCCATGGATAAACCGTATTGAAAAACAGAAAAATTGAAAAATATTTAGTATATGAAGATCTCGGTCAAGTTCGAATTTGACATATTTTCAGTGAACTGTTTTTGAGTTATTGCCCTTGACTTTGTAAAAACGCGTCAAAATTTGTTAAAAATTGTTCGTGAGCAGGATTGAAGCTACAGTTTTCATCCGATTCTGATGAAACTTGGTGTGATCATTGGAATTGATAAGATCTCGGACAAGTTTTAACTTGACGCATTTTCAATGAACGGTTTTTCAGTTATTGCCCTTGACTTTGTTAAAATGCTTCGAAATTTGTTAAAAATAGTCTGTGAACAGGATTGACGCTATAGTTTTCAACCGATTCTGATGAAACTTGGTGTGATCATTGAAATTGATAAGATCGAGCTTTGGAAAGATCTCCCGACTTTTTCAAGGCAAATCTCCAGATTTTTTTGCTTGACCTGTACACATGTATGAGCCCTGGTCACTATCAAGATATGATCTGATTCTATCATAACATGTGTATTTGTAGATAATAATAAATGGAAGAATAATAGATAATTTAATGGAAGTAGCAGAAGAGATGAGAAATATAGAAGAATATGATGGAGCTCCTTGTAACGTCAATCCGTGTCAAAATGGAGGCGTCTGTCAACCCATGTTAAATCATGCTGACTGTAAATGCCCTAGTAATTTTATGGGAGAAAAATGCAATAAAAGTAAGTGTTTAGTAAAAATTATAAATGTATGACATCGAGATTTGAAAAAATGACCTTTAACCCTTTTGAACATTGAGTTCCAATAAGATAAATTGTGGTTTAAGCCCATCAGAACTCCAAGTAATATAACTTAAAGTGTATGATGTTAACATTGTGTAACATCACATAGTAATGGCCACTTCACCAGTTGATTGGGTATATACCACGTAGTTATGTGACGAGCAAAAAGGACGCTTGTGTCAAAAAAGAAATGAGTGTTTTTTAATCTTTGTAAATTCTAGGAGCGGATCACGTAGATAAAGATCAACCAGTCAGTTTTGATGGTCATACTTTTATTCATTATCCTAATGAAGTTTCAAAAATGTAAGTTTTTCTCTTCTCTTGTATCCTTGTAGAATTAGCTTCATTGCCCACTTCTTGGCATTGTCAGAATTCATTCTGGATATACCACTCCATCTCATTCCACAAGACAATAATTGCAGAAGCTAGTTGGTTTGAAAGATTAAACATGGAATTCTTATTTCAACAATTGGAAGCTGTCCTGATGAAGATTGTACATCTGAAGCATGTATCAGCAGTATGAGATGAAATAACAATTTTGTTTTTTATTTTCTAGACAACAAGGTCAAAGAAACAATTTAATAAAATTAAAATTCCGTACCAAGGAGCGAAATGGTTTAATATTGTTTCAAAATAAAGGAGAAACCGTCCTAGGAGATTATTTAGCAATAGGGAAAATAGAATTAAGTTATAATTTAGGTAAGTGATTTTTATTTTTGTACATTGCTTATTTAACAAATACTGTAATCTGATTGGTTAATATCACTTAAACACTTTTAGTGTTTGACCAATCAGAAAATCAATCAATTTTCAATATGTTTTTGGGAATTAAGCTCCTGGTTTGATTTAAAATTATCATTATGTGAAATATTTGAATATAAGATATGTATTTGTAGGAAAACAGAGTGAAAAAAGTTTACATATAATACAATCTAGAGTTCAGATTGATGATGGCAACTGGCATTCTCTAGAAGCTAAAAGGTACGTTGTTTATTTTGTATACTTAATGCGTTTGTAAAGAGATTTCCTAAACCTTTTTGCAGGACACTGGTAACATAATATCTGTGTGAATCCTGTTATTATGGAAATGCCTAACCATATACATGTATGTTCTCACTATCATTTAGGCCCAAAGATTTTACAAACAGCTTTTGTGGTAGGGACATTTCTTTTGAAATAATACAGAAAAAGCTGCTTTATGTTAAATTTTTGAAATAGTTGATGTCAATGAAAACTCAGCCCTGTTAAATTCTGACTCTATATTTTAGAGAGTTGAGAGCTGGTAGTCTACAGATAGATAATGAAGAACCTATAACAGATATTTCTACAATGGGAGCCGAACAGCTGGATACAGATGGTCAGCTGTGGTTGGGTAAGTAGTCTACAATATTATACAGAATTCTAGATTGCCGTCATCAAATCATACAGAGACATTCACAGTATTTTTAATCAAACCATCGTAAAACTGCTGATAACTAAAAAATTGATAATAGCTATGTGGACTCTCTGAAAAGAATAGGAAGTTGACAAACCTAAATACCAAATAAACAATATTAAATAACCCTTAATGATACTTAAAAGATTTGATGCATATCAATAGAAATACATGTTAACGCATATCATTGTAAATTTCAGGTGGTAAATCCGCATTACCATTTGGATTACCGAACCCCTATTATTCTGGGTTCAAGGGTTGTTTAGACAGCGTTACTATAAATAGACAAGAGCTCCACCTAGTGGACAGTCGAAGTACCGAGAGCAGCACGATAGCCTTCTGTAAATAAACTTCTCTCTTGTGATATTTTTAAAAGCGGTTTTGTGAAAGTGGTTAAATACGTGTACATTGGTGTTGAAAATATGGAAAGCGGTAAAGCTAAGGAAGATCTATTCTTTGTGGAAAAACCTGCAGCCATTTTTACGCAGTGTTTGTGAAATGATGTATTTTGAAATATAATATGGAGATATTCAGAATGAAAGCTGTCTGCCATAACTAAATGGATTTTAAAAAGTATTTTTATGAAATTAAGTGAATTTTAACAAAATATTTTGTGGAATTTGGGGAAATATTCAGAATGGAAGCTGCCTGCCATAACTATGTGAAGTTACTGCAATTTTATGAAAAAATAAGTCTGATATATTACCAATGGAAGCTGCACAAATCAATCACTGCACATAACCACTGCGAATAACGAGATGTGAAGAAAGAAGACTGGATGATCTTTAATCATTTATAATGCAATGTTAATAATTTCATACTTCATCACTATAACAACCAATTATTGTTTATATCTTCTGAATTATTCCTGTTTGATACCACCTCCATTTCTCTTATCAACTCAACAAAACCCTTTTCAGTACTGTCTACAACTCTGTCATTGTGTATATCAATTAACTCTGTTTCAGTTTCCATTGAAATGATATATATTTCAAAAATAGACAATTATTGCAGGTTAGTTCTGTCTGACTCAGATATCCATGATCTTTAATTGATTTATACATTCCTCAATGGATATAATGTTTATTATCTGTACATTCTTCAAAGGTCAACAAAATTTGACAGTAGAGTGTTCAGACTGAGGGTGGCCTTTAAAATATGTAAGAGCCGAAATATTAAACACAATGTTCACCTTTATACGACAGACATTCCTCTCTTTTAAAAATTTATCTTGTTTTTAACTTGCCTTCATGTTCTACGCCTTGTTTCGCAAATATCTAATATTCAAATTTACATAAGTGTGAGAACAGAGGCTTATTGTTATTTGGAATTACTGAAATAATGTTATACGAGCATCAAGAAAGGGAAGCAGAGAAATTATGAGTAGAGTTTCCCCCACGTCTGATAATTTTGATCAGATTTCTCGGAAACATGGCCTATTTTAGTAAAAAAAAAACACTTTAATTTCCTGATGACCAAGGTTGTGATTTATTTGTAAATAATCCAAGAAAGCACCAACTTCAACAATATTGTGATTTGCTTTTTCATTCCATTTTAAGTTTTTGATAATAAGGCCCCTAAGCTTTATAAAAAAAACTCATTGATTGCACAATACTTGTAAATTATAAATGGATCTCAGAATTAAGGAGAATTCTGATTTGAAGTTTTTATGTAAAAAATGTTATAAATATGTAGAATAGTGCTATTTAGTAATTTTATGTAGTTTTTAATACATTGTTGATTTTAGTTATTATAATAATTTGAACTTAGAATACTGTGAATTCGTTAAGATTCGTGGGGACTTCGTGGATTTCCTTGGTCAGTCTAAAACTTAATTAATATCTTTACAACACACTAAAAATTGAAATGCCATCAGTGAATTAAGATGTCTTCACAACATAGCGATTATCAGTTTTGTACGGTTGCTAATAACAATGAGTTGGAAACACATTTCGCATGTCAGTTGAGTAGCGTTTGAAACTTATAACCGCTATTCTTATTCGTAACCCTATGTAACTGGTAAACACAATGGTTCCCCATGAAATTTTATCCTCTCATAGATATGTTTTTGAGTTCAAATCCATGAAATTTAGTGCCCACAAAAATTAATAATTTCATAGTAGATTGATTAATCAATAAATTTTTTAGTCAAAAAACAGTATTTTGAATGATAATTATGTAACTTATGCAATATGTCAATTTTTATTTTTAATTTTCACAAAATGATTTACATTTATTCATCCTTAAACAATCAAAAAAAGTTGAACAAAAGTACTTCAAAATTTCTAGTGTTATTTGCTTTGCATGTGTCACACTTAAGTATTGAATAAGTTTCATACAAGAAATTTCTCAATCTTAAAAAGCTGTAAGTACATCTAAATCTGTTTAACTTAATTTATAAAATCTTCTAATCTCAGATTTTTGCATCCATTCATTAAGTTATGGCACCTGACTTAAAATACGAACAAATTTTTTACAATTTTTAACTCAAAACTTACTTAATATTTGATATTTACAATTTGATATTTTTAACTTTTTTTTTGATTTTTTGGCAATATTTTAAAATTTCATAAGTCATTTTGTTATTGATATATATATATGTATATTTTTGTACACTTAATTAATATGCATTTATGTACATAATTAATTAACAAGTGATCACATGACCAGTTATGTGTGTTCTGTATTTAAAACTGTTTAACTGTTCAAATAATTATGTAATTAGTCTAGCAAATTATTCCAAATCCCAAATACTTAGTCTAAAATCTTATCAAAATGTTATCAATCCCTATTAATAACCAATAATATAGAAATTCAGTAGACCATTGTGGAACCAGTGCACAATTGTGACTTGTCAAAGACGACTAGATCCTAGTCTCTATCATCCAGTCTGACTCTGTCATAACACAGTAGAAGACAGCAGAAGTCTGGGTTTGAGAGACTTACTAAACCCTAGCCTCTATCATCAAGTCACACTGTCAGCGCACAAAGCCAGGAGAAGTCAGGGTGTAAAAGACTGACCAATGTAATGTACCTCTATATAAATATTACGATATATGAATAAATTAATATGTATATATTACACTTCTGATCCAAATTTAACGTTTGATCTGTACAGATTAGGGGTGTCGAAATCATAGGGCCAGCTGCTTCCCAACTATGTAGACAGAACTTATAACATTGTACCCTTCAATTGTCTGCTCCTGCCACTGAAATTAACTATTAGCGCCCCTTGCCCTGCAATAGATATTTTAAAACTTCCACACACAATATATGGTAATGTAAGTTGTTTACTGCCCAATACACAAATTTGTTTAGTGTGATAAATAGGCTATGTTGAATATCAGATATCTGTACAGGTCTAACTTATAAATATGCTCTAGTGTGTATGTCATTTTAAGGATCTTTTACACCTTCATTTATCAAATTCCAGTTCAGATGGTTTTGTTCAACAGTCTGTATTGTCACTAATGTCATGTTTTTATTTTGGAATACTTGGTCAAAGTAATAAGTAAGCCCAAGTCTGTATCTCATTATTGTTTGGGATCGTCTGCATCTTTCTTACAAATACCAGATTATTTGGTTTTATAAACCAGAAAAAAAAAAGATTTCTCAGAATACAAGTCTTAAATCTGACTGAAAGAAGCCAGGTAAGTATCGAGTTCACTTCATTATGTATGTATATTATCTGTTGTCTGAATTCTGAATCATAACAGGTAATCTCCCCTTAAGAAACTTTCACAAGGGCGTTTGAAGTTCCCTCTTCTGAAGACTTCAATCAGTAGAGAAAATTTTCCAACAGGATTTGCCTTTTCAATGTTAAATATTTCTATTACCTTGTTGATAATTTGGAATATGCATTCCAAATACAGTACAAATAGCCTTAAAGACAAAACATTGCCACATAGCCTTGATAGTTTATGAGGGAAGAGACCCAACTTGCTGTATGTGGAAGTTTATTCCTTGGTTGTTCTTTTCAGAGTTAAACTACAAATGTAAGAGGTAGATCTAAGATGCAGGATTATCACCACAGTAGAAAGTAGAAATAAATAATATCATATTTTAAAAATTCCACACTGGAAACCGAAGCTGGTCAACTAATAAAGTCTTCCTTTCTTCATGAGGAAAATGCTATGAATCAACAGACAAAAGGTTCATTAATCATATTAACTT